GGGGGGGTAGTAATTACATGGCTAGCTTGGCTTACCTCAAAGTAAAAATTTTATGTTGTGTATAGCAAGACATTAATAACATAAAAATTTTGTTATGGTGCATTACAATTAACTGATTGTGCATTTCGTTTGTTTGTGCTATTTAGCATTGAAAGTAACTATTGTTAGATTTGACATAAAATACAATACAAATGCAGTAGAGGCAATAGGTTATGCTCTACCTTGCTTGAGCCTGTCACGCCTCTTGATTTGGCTGCAGTTAATCCCAAATGAACATGCTCATATACAACATTCCAAATAGTTTTCTAGCCTACTCTTCTGCTTGTACTGAGGAGGTAATTTTACGTATTTGGTTTAGCCCTTTATTATTTATTTTAGATTTTATGTCCAAACTGTTAGTTTGTATGTCTCTGTCAGGTTAAGTTCTCTGATCTTTTTCTGCTATGACATCATTTTTGTGCTTTAGGTTTTTTGTACTTCCAGGTTCTTTAATCTCCTTTCATTTGTTTCTACTTTCAATAACTTACCCTTTTTTTTTTTTTTCTCTATTGATTTCCAGTTTATGCTTTTCTAAATAATTTCCACACATGTCTAGTACTTTGCATTCAAACAAATCAAAATCTGTTTGATTTTGCAGAATGTCTTAGTCCCAGTCTGACTGCAGTTTTTATTTAAGCATAATTAGATACTGACTTTTGGATGCAAATAGGTGTTTACTGTTTAAGTAGAAAAATTATGACATCAAGTCTATCTACAAAAGCGTTCAGTGACTGAGAGCACTTTATTCAATATTAACAATACAGTTTTGATAGAATACCTTTCAAGTTCACATTCTGTTTCAAAAAGATATTCTGCTTTTATGGCTTATAAATTTAATCATGTCTTTTTTTATTACAGGGAGAAGAAAATGAAAATTCAGGATATTAAAAACAATATTAAAGAAGCTATAGAGGTAAACTACAAGCCATTTTCTTTAACTATTCAAAGCTAGCTATTTAGACAGTCTCTGCAATACTTTTTTTTTTTCTTTGTAGACAATAGTGACAGCAATGGGCAATTTGGCACCTCCAGTTGAACTAGCCAATCCAGAGAACCAGTTTCGAATCGACTACATCTTAAATTTAGCTAACCAGATAGACTTTGATTTCCCACCGGTAAGTAAATAATTGGAATTGGCTGCAATCATGCTTTTTTGCAAATTATTATATTTCACTGCACTGTAGTAAATATTTACAAAAACAGTGAGCTGCTCTTTTGGGAGTTACTACAGTAGGTGTCTTTGGTCAGTGCTAATCAAATAAAGTATATAGTAATGCAGCTAGAATATTCAAGCTGATCCTTTATGAATAGAGAGACCCTTGTCTCCTTTCTTGTGCTCCACTGAAATAATCAGCTACAGTCAAGATGGACAGTGCTGGCAGTACTGTTGGGATATTGTTGGGAATTGCCCTGCCCAACAGGAGCGAAGATAGGCACAGCACTCTTGTTGATGATTAGCTGGCATTTAGTGATACTGTATTTGTCTCTTTTGGAAGAATGGAAGAGTTTTCTTGCTGATTCAGACATGTTCTCAGACAGCTGTGTCACCCAGACTTTCTGCAAAGGCTCCACACGCTACGTCCTTGCCCCAGCCCTTCCAGTCCTAGTTAATCATTCAAAACGCCAGCAGTCCCAGAGTAAATGCAGCAAGTGTAATTATTTGGTTGATGGTATAACTTTGTGCCCACTCACTGTGATTAATTTCTACTGTATCTCAACCAGGCTATTAGCAGAAGCCCATGAAAATACAGTTTGCAAACACTGAATTCTTAAACACAGAGAAGATATTTTTATTAATTACTGTTAAGTACCTTATACTTGCAGTAATACAGGAGTGTTTTGAAGCTTGTATTCTGTGCAGTGTTCCAGGGGGCTGAGGGTAGGAATTATGGTGATGAATCAAAATCATGATCCGTTCACATCAGAATTTTGTTTCTACAGTAGTCAGTCCCAGGTGCTTGAAGGGAAAGTGCAAGAGCAAATAGTAGTAAGATGTGGGATAGTTTGTACCACAGCAAGGTTTTCGTAACTCTGATTTATAAACATTATTGAACAAGCTAGTTTGTGAAAACAGTGACAGTTACCCTTTGCAACTGTTGCCGCTTCTGGGAATTTCTCTGCTCTGGTCAGCCTTTATTAAAAGAAAAAAACAAACAACCAAAACCACATACTTTGTGTACAAGGCAAAAGTCATATATGATGTTGGCAGTTAGTTGGAAATACTGGAACTGTGATCTTCAAATCCAGTAATTCTTAATGTTCAGCAGCCACAGACAGCT